ATGTTAAAATTACAAAAGAAAAAAAAATCAAAAACAAAAACAAAACAAAACAAAAAAAAAACTAATTTAAAATGTCTAACATAAAAAACACGAAAATATATGAAACCATATAGATAATTATGAAGTTAAAAAAACATGAAAATCAACTTTTGGAGCGGACTTATCTACACTATAAGTGAATAATTATGACTTAAAAAGTAAATGCTGGAATATATAAATTAAAAATAAAATGTGTGACTATCGGAAGGTTGTTATCGGTGGGGATTGATGATTTGTGATTATTAAATCTACTTCTTAAAGAAGCTTCGGTTTCACCGATGTAGGTGCCATGATCACACGCATTACACATTATGATGTAAATCACGTTGGTAAAGTCACATGTGAGTTGAGGGGTGAATTTTATGGTTAGTGACTGGGAGTGTGATTGTGTCGTTAGTGATATGTGTGCATATTTGACAGCGAGGCTTATTAAAGTAGATATGCTGTAACCTCCAATAGAAGCCCAATAGGCTTAATCTTGAGAAGAAGCAAATCTCGAATTGATGTCCCCTCCTTAGTTTGCAAAGCTAACCTCGAAATGAAGCCCACTCTTATCTCAAATAATTTCGAGATAGTACTGTACATACACGTACATGAATGTCAAATAAACAAATGAATTAAAAGACGCTTGGTTTATACAATATATTTACGTAATTTAATGCCGGTATGTATCCATGATACAGATTGATGTTACAGTGGCCCTATTTATTGTTTGATATTAGTAATTCCAAAAATTTACAACATTAATTTTGAAAAGAAGCCTTTCTCTTTGCTTTGCAAAAGTAGCCTCGAAAAGAGGCCCATCTCGAAAAGAAGCGTATCCAGATTTCGCAAAAAAAAAAAAAAAAAAAAAAAAAAAAAAACCACAGGGCTTTAATTCGAGATTTTACGTTATAGTATTCAGGCTAAGCATTTTATTTATTTTTTTTTTTGCCAGAAAGGTTACGTTTCTGGTCTTACTGGCTTAGCAAATCCACTTTGCATGTACTGTATATGTAAATAACATTGACAAAATATTATTGAACAATTGAAATCACCAATATTGTTTGTAATTTGTATATATAAAAAAAAATGAAAATCGAACGTGAATTAGTGTTTGTAATGTAATGGTTGGATATCATGAAGCTCGTGTGTCAATCTCAATGATCATGTCACAACAAATTGTATTACTTTATATTTTGGCCTAAAAATAATAATTACAATGTTTGACTGCGAACATTTAATATGAAAGCTTGAGTATTAAACAACATCGTTTGCTTTTCTACGCACATTCTCTCCAGGGGCGTTCCTAGGACATTGTGACAAGCGTCTAGTAATGATAAACACTAATAAATAAAAAATATCAAAATAAATTAAAATAATGAATAATAATGATAACAACAATTCTTACCCCAATGCCAGTAATTGATGCCAGTTAAATTTTTACGTTCTACACGAATCAGGTCTCCTTCTAAGAGTTGTTTGCTATCCATTCTGACACTAGTATTTACTACAGTAAATGATTCAGAAAGCCTCCTACCAAAAAAAAGATAGTTATTCATTTTTCTGTGTATGTCAGTGCAAATAATAAAGGGTTTGAGTGTACCAGGGCCTGGGACCAATAATGGTTACCATCTAAAAAGTTAATTTTTAGGCACTGACTATTGTTACGCAAATCTGATAAGAATTAATGGTGTAACAATTGAGACAAGGCAGCAAAACCGATATTCCGAGCTAGGAAATTCGAACGATGTGTATAAGAGACAGAAACTCATCCTCCACCGAGACTAGCTAAAGAGATAATATTATGTGGTCTGTGACACAAATGGTGATTAAGCGAAACATTTTTAATACCATATTGCATGTTCTATATCGTTTTAGAAACGGAAGCAAATATTTGATCTGTTCTTACTAATACTTCACTAAAACTTCATCAGAATAGGCCTAATTAATACTTTCAGCCATAACGTAAGAAATCTAAAATGTATTTTATTTTTCTCTTTTTTTGAGTTGTTCACGATAATGTTATTTAATAAATTTAGAATACAATATTTTCTAATTTCATCATGATCTAAACGGTTTTACAACCATTTGAGAAAACTTACCTGATTGGACTTGTTGCAATATTGTTAAGTGGATGATACCTCAGTGCTCTTTCAGCTACTGTACAAATCGGTGTTTGAAATGCAAGAGCTGTACTGGGTGACAGTATATATACGCATTTAAAACTAATTTACATATGAAAGACATGTTACGTGATTGGTTTAAATGGCGTTCGGCGACCAAAACTGATTGGTTTGTGTGCTTTTTTTTTTTTTTTTTTTTTTTTTTTTTTTCTCCTTTAGATTTTTTTTTTTTTTGTATTTTCTGTCTTTGAATGTTTTGATCATTGTTATTTCTTTGATTTTCATGTATGTATTCTTTGGAAATTATGAAATTTTAAAAAATGGTTAGTTGTGTAAATGTGTTAACATTAAAATATTTCCTACAAGAAGTGCACAAAAACGCTTAGTGTATAAGCATCCACTTCATGGGAGCTCATTTGTATTTGGTTTTTTTCCCTGTTTTGTACAATACACTACAAATAGGCCTAGCATTCTAATCCACTCATTCATTTATTTCTGATATAAAATCCATATAGGCCTAGCATAAACAACATGAATACAAAGAACAAGCATTACTATTGTATATAAGCATGACTGATAAAAAAAAAACAGAATAAAAAAAAAAAACAGACGAGAATGATCGGTCCATTCAGTGGTGGTGTCAACGGATGTTAGGCCCAACAGTCGGGAACGCTTGTATCACCCACTAACGTAATAATCAACCACTAATGTAATATTAACCACTAACGTAATAAAAATCAACCACTAACGTAACATTAACCACCAATGTAATAAAAATCAACTAATAACGTAATAAGTCATTAACCACTAACTAATGTTACATGCAAAGCACAAACAGAGAATAGGAAACACAATAGCTTAGTATTATATACAATATGTACATTTATTAATTAAAACATAGATACATTATTATTAAAAGAGAACAAAATGGTGGTGGTAAAACACAATTAAATACTTTAAGATGCTCGAAAACTCACAGAATTAGCTGAGCCCACGGCTAAGTAAGTAGGATCAAAGACTGGTGTCCGAGACCGGCAAGGTCTATATATAAACTTAATAAACTACGGCAGACAGCAGACTTGTAATAAAGTTGATGATAACTTTAGAAATTTTGGACTGACTAAATGATAGGATTGTACCCCATTTTATACATTTATGAAGAGGATATGTGGGGGAGATTATTATGACATCTCCCACATAACTTTAAAATGAATTTTTTTGAATTTGTAGTAATTTGACAAGGTAAATCACCTAAATCTAAGGCCCTCTCCAAATTAATTTTCCTCAATCTTAATACCACGAGTGGGCTATTTTTGGTGTAACCAATATGTACTTGCCAACATTTCTGAAATTTTCAATGAAATGACGACATTATAAACAACAATTCTGGAATTTCTGTTTTTCTACGAATATTTCAATGCCCCGGGCATCACGCACCATGGACCTCTAATGAAAAATTTGGTCCCGAGCTTTGAAATTACCTGCCAAATGTAATGCACAAAATCCAAAATCTGTCCGGCGTCTATTTAGTAGTTATAACCTGTAGGCCTATTTGATTTAGCGTTGTTGATATTTGTTTTTAATCAAATGATTGATTTGAAATATGTCATCTCTTATTATATAATATTTTTTTCAATTCGTTAATTAGTTATGTGTGTAATTGAATAGTAATACACAACAGCCCAAAAAAAAAAATGTTATTTTCGCGCTTCGCGAATGGTCGTAAATCGTGTTGGTCGGCTTTAGTTTATTTTTTACCTTGTTTTGTTTTGGTTGTGTGCTTGCTTAACGCCGCGATGAAATACATGAGCAATCATAATAGCACAACAGGCTTATTGTATGATATAATACCCACTATAACATGGAATATTTAAAACTCAGTCTTGTGTTTCATATTAGGCCTCAACCTAGGACAAGCACTGCCGCCGAAAATGATGCATGCATGTTTCACATAGGCCTAGAAAATGCATTTAATATCTGGTGCGTTTGAACAACTCCCTAGTCTGATAAAACAGGTCCACAAAAGCTTAATAGGAATCGTTCTGTCACTCTGCAAAGATTTTTCAAGTGTGGGAGAAGCACAAATTTCTTCCCGACACTGCACGGGAGAAAAAATCATACCCTACGGGTTGCAAACTCGTTACGAGCAGCGGCCAGGCCGACGGTCTAATTTTATTCAAGGGGGACCGGTTTTAGCGGACCGATTTTGGCGGCCAAAATCTGTCCTCATCATTATAATAGTACAGTAGCGTGAATGTTCAGGCCAAGTACGGTATCTATACTATTTACAATTGTATGGAAAAATCAATGTACAAACTGATAGTAATCCCTTCTTTCACGAAATGATATTTGCCCTACCTGACGTGTTATAAGTACTAAATGCTCGGTAGGGCCTACAATCCCAAATGCTTGCTAAAAAAAATCTCGCAAGTGATTCAGGTGGTAACTGTTGTTATTGAAGTGTAAGATTTACTTTACTTATGTCTGATTTTTTTTTTTGTGTTTATGTTTATGTCTATTAATAAAATCAATTACAAAAAGTATGGTAACGCCTGTCATTTTGCATAATTCTATAAATAAATGTAAACCTAATTATTGTAAGTAAAAGGTAATTAGATAGATGATGTCCTTAAAACACTAATTATCTACATACTGGTTCAGAAAATGTATAGCAAATATGGTACCATAGGACTAGGAAAATTGTTTGAAACTACTGAAATGTTAGTGTTTTATGTTTTCTGTTTCTTTTTTTATGGGGTAGGGGATAATGTGTGGGTACAAATTAGAATTCCCAAAAGCGAACAAAATTAGACTTAAGTTATAGAAAAGTAGGGAATCATAACGAATTGGAAACGTACGATTGACACCCTTTGACACTGTTGCACAACTAGTCTTACCCAGTGGCGTTATAAACATACCAAAATCGAAATGTACATGTGTCAACTGAACTTTGTTAAGAAAGAATTAATTATTTTCTCCTTTGTTGTATATCCTATTTCCAGGAAATTATTGACATAAATTGTTTTGACGCAGACTTTAACATAACACTATTTGAATAGGCCCCACCATGGTTGGGGCTGAGGAAAGGGGGGGGGGGGGGTGCCGGCTGGTCCCCTCTTAAATAAGCCACTTATCCCACTGCCCCACGTCAGACAGGCCTGGACCCCCACCCCGATCGTCCGACGGCACGACTAGGTCGTCCGATCAAAAATAAAAATAACATTTTGTCCAAATAACATTAATTTGATTGTAATTCCTAATATTGTGGTCTAAAAGTACAATTTGGACCATAATGAGCGATAAACCTTCTCCCCGTGAACTCTACCAGGAATTTTTTTTATTCATAGCCGTCGACCGAGGCTCTAGTCGCCCCTTGGTTCCGATCCCTCCGTGGGACATGTCGAACCTAGTCGGCAAATTTCTTGCGGTACCGCTGTTTTTATCGTGATGGGATTTTTTGTGAACAGCACCAAAAAAAAACACAAATTTTCCATCTAGCACAATGTCTTTATATCTTACAGTGGTATTAAATATTAATCATTATACAAACATTTTTATAATTCACTAACGGTATAGCAGTCAAAGACATACTTTTTTTTATCCTCTATATGTCCACATTTGTTCCAAGTCATTATTTTTTAGCTTCCAACGAAGTCTTTTAATAGGCCTAGTTGGAATAAGTTTGTGGAGAAATATGAAATTAAATTCAGCATAGGCCTACTTAAAGTTTTCTTCTTTTTTTAGCTTTTCTAAACCAAACTATATTCCAATCAACTGAGTACCGTAGTCATTGAACTCAAATTCCCATTTTGATTGTGAAATTGGAGGAATAGAGACAGAGTTTACAAGGCAATTATAGATTATTTTTGATTTAGCCCTTGAAACATATTGAAGTAAGCACTACATGAAGCATGTTTTTGATTGACATGTGAATAGTTATTTTCATTTTTTAGGTATAGCTTCAAGTAGAGAAATGTATATTTACTTATCCACTTACTTTTATTTAACAATTTTCTAGTATTTCTTTCCCTGTCAGTAATCTACTGTATTTCAACCACGATATCTTTAAATTTAACAAGCCCAGATTTATTTCAGTGTTTGTATATAAGAGATTGGGCATTAATTATGTTCATATGAGTTACCTATACAATTTGTTAAACAATTTGGTTGTAGTTATTTACTTGATTTTTAATATTGTTATTATACTCGACAGTCGCTTTAAGCACCTCAAAATGAAATGGAGATACTTTTGTGGTTATTGATATATTGTGTAACAGATTCATGTCAGTCATGTTAGGTAACAACTGCTCTGATGGGAGCAAGTTTATGTTTAGAATATTTGTGTGTAGTAAATCATTAAAAACTGTGATTATCGAATGTTGATAGTTTTGTAGTCCTTTTAAAGAGTTAAAATATAATAAGATTAACTACGAATTGGTATGATTTTTACACTTCTTTGTGCTCGGTGGGGTGTCTATAAATCGAAGACCGAAGACCAAAGACCCAAAAACAAAGACCCCTATTTTTTTCTCTTTCAAAATGATAATACATCAGGTTGTCCAAAATTTAAATTCCTAAATTTATTTGGACGTCTGTATGTTTATCAAGTTTTTATTTTCATAGACACTATATATTGGTGTCTGTAAAACGAAGAACGAAGACCAAAACCACGAAGACCTCCAAATTTTTCTCAATTATCTTTTTGAAACCATGTCAAAGTCATCATAAAACTATTGTCAAGTACCTCATTCATTATGTCATAGGAATAATATGAAGAATATAAATAAAAAAGCCAGACCGAAGACCCACATTTTCTTTCTTTTATTTTATTTAATTTTAATATATATATATTATATATATTATTTATATACATTATATATATATATTATTATATATATATTATATATATTATTATCATATATTATAGATATATATGTATATACATTATATACATATATATAAATATAGATATATATGTATATACATTATATACATATATATAAATATAGATATATATGTATATACATTATATACATATATATAAATATAGATATATATGTATATACATTATATACATATATATAAATATAGATATATATGTATATACATTATATACATATATATAAATATAGATATATATGTATATACATTATATACATATATATAAATATAGATATATATGTATATACATTATATACATATATATAAATATAGATATATATGTATATACATTATATACATATATATAAATATAGATATATATGTATATACATTATATACATATATATAAATATAGATATATATGTATATACATTATATACATATATATAAATATAGATATATATGTATATACATTATATACATATATATAAATATAGATATATATGTATATACATTATATACATATATATAAATATAGATATATATGTATATACATTATATACATATATATAAATATAGATATATATGTATATACATTATATACATATATATAAATATAGATATATATGTATATACATTATATACATATATATAAATATAGATATATATGTATATACATTATATACATATATATAAATATAGATATATATGTATATACATTATATACATATATATAAATATAGATATATATGTATATACATTATATACATATATATAAATATAGATATATATGTATATACATTATATACATATATATAAATATAGATATATATGTATATACATTATATACATATATATAAATATAGATATATATGTATATACATTATATACATATATATAAATATAGATATATATGTATATACATTATATACATATATATAAATATAGATATATATGTATATACATTATATACATATATATAAATATAGATATATATGTATATACATTATATACATATATATAAATATAGATATATATGTATATACATTATATACATATATATAAATATAGATATATATGTATATACATTATATACATATATATAAATATAGATATATATGTATATACATTATATACATATATATAAATATAGATATATATGTATATACATTATATACATATATATAAATATAGATATATATGTATATACATTATATACATATATATAAATATAGATATATATGTATATACATTATATACATATATATAAATATAGATATATATGTATATACATTATATACATATATATAAATATAGATATATATGTATATACATTATATACATATATATAAATATAGATATATATGTATATACATTATATACATATATATAAATATAGATATATATGTATATACATTATATACATATATATAAATATAGATATATATGTATATACATTATATACATATATATAAATATAGATATATATGTATATACATTATATACATATATATAAATATAGATATATATGTATATACATTATATACATATATATAAATATAGATATATATGTATATACATTATATACATATATATAAATATAGATATATATGTATATACATTATATACATATATATAAATATAGATATATATGTATATACATTATATACATATATATAAATATAGATATATATGTATATACATTATATACATATATATAAATATAGATATATATGTATATACATTATATACATATATATAAATATAGATATATATGTATATACATTATATACATATATATAAATATAGATATATATGTATATACATTATATACATATATATAAATATAGATATATATGTATATACATTATATACATATATATAAATATAGATATATATGTATATACATTATATACATATATATAAATATAGATATATATGTATATACATTATATACATATATATAAATATAGATATATATGTATATACATTATATACATATATATAAATATAGATATATATGTATATACATTATATACATATATATAAATATAGATATATATGTATATACATTATATACATATATATAAATATAGATATATATGTATATACATTATATACATATATATAAATATAGATATATATGTATATACATTATATACATATATATAAATATAGATATATATGTATATACATTATATACATATATATAAATATAGATATATATGTATATACATTATATACATATATATAAATATAGATATATATGTATATACATTATATACATATATATAAATATAGATATATATGTATATACATTATATACATATATATAAATATAGATATATATGTATATACATTATATACATATATATAAATATAGATATATATGTATATACATTATATACATATATATAAATATAGATATATATGTATATACATTATATACATATATATAAATATAGATATATATGTATATACATTATATACATATATATAAATATAGATATATATGTATATACATTATATACATATATATAAATATAGATATATATGTATATACATTATATACATATATATA